TGCGCCTTGCAGTGGAAGATGTGCAGCTCTCCGACGGCACCTTTATCCCCAAGAATACCGGTGTGGCCGTATCCTCTCATAGGATGTGGGATCCTGACCTTCACCCCGACCCCAATCACTGGGACGGTTTCCGGTTTTACAAAATGCGTGACGACCCTGGAAAGCAGAATGTCTCCCAGCTTGTGTTTGCGAGCCCGGACTATCTCGCGTTTGGCTATGGCCAGAACGCTTGCCCGGGCCGCTTCTTTGCGTCAAACGAAATCAAGATTGCCTTGGCTCAGATTATTACAAAGTATGACTTTGAATTGCAAGAAGGCTCTGTGCCTCAGATACATAAGCATGGATTTACTTTGAGCGGTGATCCGTTGTTGAAACTGCGTGTTAGACGACTTGCAGAAGAAATCTAGTGATGGGACGTTGGGAATAAAAAGTATAGCCACAGTTTGTATGCGGAGAGAATATTAGGGGTTGACCCTTGCTGCTCCTACATTTAGGCATCACTGAAAGTAATAATAAATTGATCCGGTTCTTGTCAAAGGCTCTACCGACGTTGGTTTCTAGCACCCTGTAACTCGGGGCTATTACGTACCAATTTCCTAACCATGGCCTCAAACATCTTTAGGTGTCAGGTAATTCCACTTTTTTGTTGAGGCCAAATGGTGGAGTAATATCGGAGAACTTATTAAGAGACTTTGAGGTGAAGATGCCGCGATATAATTTACCTAGGTCCGAGATGAAGATCGGGAGCCGCCGATTCTAGTTTTTTTTTTTAGCTATAGGACCGACTATCGAAAGTAGCAGCTGCCTGAAGGTTAATAAAACAAAACCTTAATGAATAATAAGTCTCATGACGTGACACCAGCCCTTTTGGGATTGCAAAAGACCTGAGAGAGCTGGTGTCATGTCGAAAGAGCCTCTGCATGGGCAAATCCGGGGATTGTCGCCCCCACGGATTACAAGGTCATAGTATGACCATGGATAAAGTATGATCTGGTGGCGTCTGGTTGGAGCTCCGGGGAACGAAAACGATGGCAAGGCGAGAAGGTGTCTGCCGTTTGCGACATGGACCTTTACCGCCTACATGTGCAGACATCGCGACAAGACGTTTTGTTCCTCAGGGTATTACATTGTAACCGAGGCCAGACAATTCTCGGGCTCCACGGGCTCTCCGCCACTCTCCCAGTCCGATTCCTCCTCCGGCACACCAAGAGCGCATGCGTCTGAGACAAGAGTAAAACTGACTTTTGACATGACAATTAGGATCTGGGCTCGGCTATCAGTGCCATTGGCTCCAGCCACATAGCCAAGCCCAGTATTTCCTAAACAGAACGCCAGAGGCAATCCATTACGATTCGTAAAATATGATTTCTTGGATTGAGGTGGGTGGCATGTATATTGTGTCAATGTTTCAACCTCGCATCCAATCCAATTCACATACCAGACACGTGCAGCAACTTCCACCCGTGCCGTAATCCTGCCACCCACCACTATAAACCACTTTAAACGTACACGCGCTTTTAGATAACTGTGGCTGTTTTTATTGGGCTGCGTTCAGGAAAGGAGAAAGGCACGGGCAAGTGTGAGCCACCAGAAGCAGAGTCGACATCTCTTCACGGTGGCTGGCTTACAATGCGGTAATTGGGTGCAAACATCAACACATGCAGAGCCCTCCTCGACAGGTTCTAGCAATAGGCAGTTATTTCTCGTCAAGTATGCCATGTCAACACGACTTGCGCGTCGGCTTTCTCGTTGATCGCGTCTTGGTTCCATGTACCCGTGTATACATCACACTCCATAGCAGATAGCTTCGTTTGTCTCATTTGATTCCCAAGGGAACCATTGTTTCATGTATTAAAATATATATGCAGCGGCATATGAGATGAATTACACTTTCCTAGTAGTCTCCAGGGTCTGTACAATTCTTTCCCAGTGAGCGTCATCCGTGGTTGCATTCAACCAGTAATTCCCCTCGTGGTCCTTGCCAATGGTAACCATGACTTCGAAGCGAACAGGGCTATTAAAGGTACACTGGACATAGGAGGGAAACCCCGGCCTAGCGGAAGATGCGTCCTTGTCGCCCGTGGAGGCATTTTCGAGCACAGCTCCCGTAAAGTCGACGTCGAACAGCTTCGCGTTGGTCCAGCTGGAGCCCCAGAGGACCGCCATTGTGGCATCGCCAAACATGGGCATCGTCAGGGTGCCTTGCTTCTCCCTCACCAGCGCAGAGAATGCCTCGACTTGTGGACGAGTGCGAGATTCCGTGATGCACTGGCGCAGTCGCGAAGCCGTGTAGCTCAGGGGGCGGGTGACGACTTCTTCCGCAGACAGCAGGAGGGTGGACATGGCTACCGCGTTGGACAAGTACGGCTTTGACGGGGGCAGGAGGTCGTTTTCAAGCGTTCGGCGGAGTCCCAGGGCATTGTAGAGGTTGACTGTGCCGCGTGGATTCTTCTTGGCCGCCGTGTGTAGTCGAGCCCACCAAGCCGTGATGAGGTTGTCGTCGCTCAGAAACGGCCTTTGCTCATCCGACTCAGTCTCGCTCTCTGCTTGTTGGCGAATCTCGCGCAAGAAGGCTGATGGGAGGCACAGGACGCGGCTTCGATACCTCTTGAAGACGGCGTTGTAGAGGGCTCGAATGGTGAATACCATCATCTGAAGCCTGGACAGCTTGAGCTTCTCGAGCACATAGGGTTCTGTGGGGTGTAGCCCAAGATCAGCCAAGGGATCCTCGCTTGCATCATGTGGCGTGCCGACTTGAGTCAACTGTCCATTGACAATCGACGACCAGGCTCGGAGCAGCTCTGCCTTGCCGGGCGTGTCGAACAAGGTATGGAACCAGCGCAGAACGACGAGGGTCGCGTCGCGGAATGACACGACGACGAGTCCGAGCTGGGGCAGGTCGCTTTGCAGGTATTCGGAAAACTTGGTAGGAATACTTGGGTGCGCCCATAAAGACCTAAAGGCCGCGACATCTGCGACTATCTCGGGTCTCTGAGATGCCCTCAGTTTCTGCATCTGAGACGCAACTGTGTGTTCGGCTATGAGCATGTCATGCCGAATGTGGCAAAACTGAACCGCTCGACGATCCTCGGTGAAGGTTGCCGGAATATGATAGTACAACCGACCCTTTCTCTGCCGTTGAGTCGTGGGTCAGCTCGAGTCCAGCGAGTCCTAAACGCAGATATTGTTTGGAGGAGCTCTCACGTCATATCTGAACCTGGCACCGATTTTGTCCCAGCCCTTGAGGGTAGCAAGAGTTTCGAGGCCATCTCGCAACTTGAAAGGATCGAGAACGTCGTTGAAGAGCAACGTCGTGAACATGCCTGTGCTCCCACCTTGCGGAAGGTCGTCGAGCCGTCGAAGTGGAATCACCTTGTCTGTCGATATTGTTGGCGCTTGGCCGCGTGTAGGATCAAAGAGACTGAACATGGCGGTGGACGTGCAAGAGCTAGTCTTTGGACAGTCTGCTACGGGATCATCCACGGTACGTAGTATTCGCAGGACAACATTTGACAGGCTGTGGCATCTTTTAATGCAACAACGACGGCATGTGTAGAGGCGGCCGACCTGGGGGGGAGCCGCCCGGCCTCGTCGTAGGTCAAGCAATGCATTCCTATTGCCAGGGGGTATAAGAAGCGGTTGGCCATGCAACACAACCCACAGCAGATGGCCAACACTACAGAACAAGCTCGGGACCATGAGGCAGGCATGAGAGTTAGCAAGACGCGTAATCTAAGTACCAAGTACGGATATATACTTGAGAGTTTGGCATGTGTAAACAGTGAACACCATAAGAGGTATGCAGCATCCGAGACCACCCCTAGACCATATTTTGCCGTGGCTTGGTGCACTGAGACACGCCAAACCTTGTGCCTTGCTACTTTGGACGTACGGCGCATATTTAGGACCTAGTTATCTACAGAGGTACTACTACATGCTACATACTCTATGATTCTACGTACTTTCCACGGTTTAGGTTTTGCTGAAATGTACCAAGTAGATACGCGAGGAGCACTCCGTACTCCGTAAACCACATCCATCGGGTTGAACATGTCTCAGCCTCGACTCCCTACCTAGGTACATTTCGCACTCGAGACGTTGTACTTGGTACTTTGCATAAAGTTCTCTTTACATACCTAGGTACCGAACCGACATGCTGCATCTCACTATTGTAGTTGGATAGACGGTACGTGGCTGCTCTCGACTGGGTCTGCTCCAGCTCCTGGTCAGAAAATCGCCGAGACCAACATGTACGCCTAGTCAGACCCAGGTGAAACAAAATGACTGTCGAGTCTCTATCATAGTGGTATCGTCAACCCGACCCCTCCCTCCCGTTGATACCTGAAAATCCAACGACACACTTCGAACATGGGGGCAAGATGGGTGTCGTTAGCACAAACTAACAAGGCTACTACTGTCACATAAAACTGCCTCTGTTGATAGAGCAAGCAAACTTGGTGTGGTTTTCATCCATCATGACGTCGGTTAGAATGACTCATCGGGGCCGAGATATAATTTGTACGAAAGCAAGTTTGTTAGACAAAGTTATATAATATCGTATAGATGAAATAGAACACTCTTCATTTCTCATCTAAAACAGCAGAGTTATATAAAATTTAATACTTTAAAATATTACAAATTAAGCAATACTATTACAATTTCCTTTCACCACTCACCACCAGCAACTGGCCACTAGGCAGGACCGCAGGAATGCTTTGCGTGTTCTTCTCAGAAGCAGCATGATCCTTGAATGAATGAGGGACCTGATCTTGAAAAAGCTTCGCCATTACAAAGGTAGCCGCCGCCCGCACACTCCATCTGCAGCACAAAGAACAACAAGAAGATGACTTTATAAGAAGCTTAGTTTACAGTGTCTCATAACCCGACACCTACTACTACCGCGTACACACTCGTACGCACGCCCGTACCCGGCGACTGCATTGCTCCAAGATGGATGTCTTCACGATGAACTCCTACTCGTGCCAGCAGTCTGTCCACACTCAGCAGCGACGCATTGTCCCTTCTTCTTGCAGATTCCTCGGCGGGCTCTTTCCATCCAGCATGTGTGCTTGCAACAGGCGGCTCGGATGCCGAATAACGTCCTTGATGGAGACGTCATACCCGCGATACTGGTAGTACTCGCTCAGTAGCATGGCGCTGACAATGTCGGCATCGTCAGCGAACATGGAACCTTTGTCTCCCAGACCAACTGCCAGCCCTAGTTCCTTCCACCCCTGAATCACGACATCTCTGGCGCCTTGTGAAGGACATGGTGCCGGGGGGTATTGTGCCTCGCCCACGCTCAATGGCGACGACCCCGTTGCCGCGGGCCACGTGCCCGTGCTCTGCCGGACAATGTCTTGTATCTGGCCTTGGATCTTCTGGATACCAGCGGGGATGGCTTGCATCACCGTTTCCAGAGTCTGGCAGATCCAATTCATCCGGTTTGCGGGGATCGTGTCTGAGTTGTAATAAAGTTGAATCTGTAGCTCCCCGCCGCGAGGAATAGCCGCCATCATTACGTCGGCGGCGTGTGAGGCGCCGCCGTCGATCGAAAAGACCCCCTTGGCCTTGCCGATGGGGACGGACGCGTCCACAGATCTGTGACTCTGGTATGAAATACAGGTGCTTAGCGGCGTCCAGCTGGGCCATGTGGTGCAGTCCCTGACGATGGACCGTAGGCCCAGGTGATGGTACTGCATGCCCTCTGTCTCTTGGTGCTGAAGCTGTGCAATCAACGAGGCCAAGGTGGCTTCACGACGGGTGATGGCTCTGACTGGGACGAAGTTGATGCAGGGTCCGCAGACCTGATCGATGCCCGGCATGGTCAGGTAGCGACTGGCGCTGATTTCGCCAAACACGACGTCGTTTGTGCCGAGGGCCGCCGAGAGGACAAGGGCCCAGGCCGCCTTGAGTGTGGTTGAAGGTGTCCCGAGTGAGTTTTGCAGCTTGCGCAGGGGCACACTGAGACTGCAGCAATCTCTGAGATGATACCCCTGGGCAGGCATGATTCGGGGAGCGGCCAGATGCGTCATCGAGGAGCCTCGCAACACGTCTATCCAGAACTGCCGCGACGCCGTGCCATCGAGCGCTTCCAGGTGTGATATCCAAGCGTGGTAGCGAGGGCCGCCTCGTCGCACTTGGCCGTTGTTGTATGCCGCATCGAGGTCTCGAAGCAGCAAGTCAAACGACGCGGCATCGTACAGCGCATGGTGAATGTCAAGACGGATACTGTTGCAGAGCTCATCTCGGCTGAATAAGTAAAATCGGGCCAGATTGCTGCCTTTGCCGAAGAAGGCGGGTGTGGCAGGCGAGCCGCCTTCTTCTATCGTAATCGTCTCCGAGGTTGGCGTCTTGAACACCACTTGGTAGAGCATATGTCCATGTTGGACAAAGGCGGTGCGCAATATGGCGTGATGCTGAATCACCTGCTCGCAGGCTGACCGAAGCTTGGCCGCATCAAGAGCAGGAGTCAAGTCGAGTGTGAAGCTGGTGTGGTATCCCGTCTCGCCCTCGACGCCGGGAGGGCCAATGGTCAGGAACAAGGCTTGTGTATCAGTTGCTGGCGCGATGCTCTCAATGTTTTCATGTTTGAACTGGGGATTCGATAGGCTGAGCCGCGAGAGCCGGTCATGGAGACCACCAAGACTGGTATCCCGCGGTCTCCTTGTCGCAACCGGCGCGGCCTCATCTCCCTCCACATTTGCTAATAGAGCGGCTTCAACAGCCGACTGGAGAGTCTGGTTCCGCAGCAGCCAAGAGGTGGCTATGGGGATGCCACTCCGAGCCAGTAGATGGGACGCCTGCATAGCCATGATCGAGTCCCCTCCCAGCCGCGTAAACGAGCTCTCCTTGCCAATACTCGTCTCCGGAATGTCCAGTACTGATGCCCAGACGTACTGGACCAGCTTTTCCTCGACTGTGTCAGGCGGAGTCAGCTCCGCATCTGCTTGCTCTTCCATGGCGGCCTTGGCCATCGAGACATCCTTGGCCTTGAGCCAGTTGCTCATGCAATGCCGGTCTACCTTTCCCGAGGCTGACTGTGCCACCTTTTCAACCGCGAGCCAGATGCTCGGAACCATGTAGGAAGGGAGCCTAAGCCGCACGCATTCCCGAATGGACTGGAGATGTCGGGCCACGACTCGAGTATAGGCTGAGGGCAGATGCCGCAGCCCATCACCGCGCGGGAGCTGGGCGTCAGCCAAGGAAATCACCGCGACGAGCTCGTTGCGGCCCCGATGAATCTTTGTCGATAAAAACACGTCTCTGACCTCGGGGCTGCTGCTGATGACGTTCTCGACCTCGCCCAGCTCAAATCTCTGGCCGCGAATCTTGACCTGGCTGTCCTTCCTGCCCAGGTAGCTGATGCTACCATCGGAGTTATACCGACCCAAGTCGCCAGTGCGATAAAACCGTGCAGCCTTGGTATTATCCCCCCGACGCAGCAGGCTCCGGCTCCAGCGCGGAGGAGGTATAAACGAGGCCTTGGTCTTGACGGCATCATTCAAATAGCCGCGGGCCACGCCGGGACCCTCGACTATGAGCTCTCCGGTGGCTCCAATGGGGCAGAGCTCATCGCTATTCTCCGGGTGGACGATCCAGACTGCACAGTTCTTGGGCCTGCCAATGGTCTCGGGGAAGGGGGAATCCGGCGTCAGATGTGCCATGGTATTGGCGATGCCCCCTTCGCAGGGCCCCCAGCAGTTGAGCAATCGCGTCTGCCGGCCCCAAATCCTGTGAGCCGAGGCATCGACCGGCTCGCCTACCGAGTAGACGACTCTCAAACCCGGGACTTGGTCGGGGGACAGGCTCCGCAGCATCGTGGGCGTGAGCAGCACGGATTCCACTCGCTGCGACTGTATAAAGTCGGCGAGACTTGCCAGACGCTCCTCCTCGGACGGTATACAGAGGCAGCCACCGTAGAGGAGCGTCCCGAGCATCTCGACTATGCTGGCGTCCCACACGTGCGCCGCGAATTGCATCATTCTGAATCCCGGCTCGTAGTCTTGTGTCTGGATGATGACCTTGAGCGCAGACTGCAGACAGCCGTGTTCCAACATGACCCCCTTAGGCGTGCCGGTGCTGCCGCTGGTAAAGACGATGTAGGCGAGATTTGCTGGCGTGACGGGCGACGGAGTCGGCGGCCGTTCCGCGCCGTGGGTACGTGCAAACCCCGAGATGGTCGCCTTGTCGACGAGCAAGACGTCGTGTGCCGAGCTGCTCGGGCCCAAGGCGTCCTCGCTCGAGACCAGGACCGTCTTGGCACCCGCACTGGCGATGAGGGCCTCCTTGCGAGAAGGCGGATCGGCCGCGTGGATGGGAACGCATGCGCCGCCGGCTTTGAGGATGCCCAGCACGGCGACGGGCATCCACATGGATTTCTCAAAGACCACGGCCACCGGGCTTTCGACGGCTAGCCGTCTTCGCGTGAGCTCGCCGGCGAGGCTGTCGGACAAGCGGTCCAGCTCGCGATAGGTGACGCTCCCGTCCCTCGCTTCGATCGCCGTGGCCTCGGGCGACCTCTGCACCTGGGCGCGGAACGAATCGTGCAGACACTCGGCATGTGGCTCGGGGACGGCGCCGCCGTTCCACGCGAGGATTTCCGACTGATCATGTCGGTTCAGCAGCGGCACGGACCCCAGCGGCGAGTCCAGGTCCGCCTCCAACAATGCGGTCAGGGTGTGTTTGAATTGGTTCAGAATCCTATTCATCTGCGGCTCACCCAGGATATCTGGGTCGTACAAGACCTTGATGGAGACGCCGGGGCCAATGAACATGCAGTGGAAAGAAAAGGCAAACGGGTTGGCGGGCTCGTCGTTGCGCTCAAAGATGAGCTCCCCGGTGTCGCAGAGCTCGGGCAAGGGCGGATGGATGCTGAGCACGGCTTGGAACTCGGAGGCAGCCCGGGCGGCCTCGCTGCTCGCGCGGATATTGGCCAGCCCGTATTGCAGGGCCGGGCTTGTCTGGAGCTGCCGGAGCGACGCCCGCATGTCCTTGAGCATCTCCCGGATGGTCGACGCCGACGACCACCGGGCTTGGACGGGCACCACGACGGCCGTGGGCCCCATGGCGGTCTCGAGGCCCGGGAGGTCCGCGCCGTGCAGATTCACGTCCATGTCGGAGCCGGTCTGTCGGCCGGACAGCGCCACGCCGTAGGCAACGTTGCTGCCGACATAGGCTCCGAGGGTCACGGCCCACGCAAGCTCGATGTAGGCGGGCATCTGGAAGATGGGGACCTGCGCGTCGACGTGGCTGAACTCGAGCAGGCTGCCGAGCTTCCGAGTCGCCTGGGGCATGTAGCTCGGCTCAACATGGGGGTAGGCGACGGGGTTGCCCTTGAACCTCGAGGCCCAGAATGCCTTTGCCGCCGCGTCGTCGATGCTGCGGCACCACGCGACGAAGGCCTTGAACGGCCGGCGCGGCTCGGGTTCCTGGCCGCGGTAGATGCGCACCAGGTCGCCGACGAGGGCGAACAAGGCCGTCATGTCCATGATGGCGTGGTGCATGGCCAGCGCCAGCCTCCTGTTGACAATGGCCGAGTGGAACAGCGCTTCTCCGAGGCCCAGGGCGCTGGTCGTGTCTGTCCCAAAGAAGTGGTCGAGGCTGCCGGACAGGCGCCTGGTGCGGTGTGGCTGGTTTGTGACAACCTGGACGAAGCCCCGGCGTGTGTCGACGATGCGAGTCCGCAGCATGGCGTTGCGCGACACGACTTGCTGCAGGGCATCGCAGAGGCGGTCCAGGTCGACTGTGTGGGCGAGCTTGAAGGCGTAGCGGTGCGTGAAGCCGGAGCTGCGGAGGGCCGACTCGACCATGGTGTTGACCTGGAAGTCGGTGCATGGGTAGACGTCTTCAATCATGTCGGGGTATACGTCACACGCGCGTGCAATGTCGGACAAGGTCGCAGCGTCCACGGTGTCCCGGGACACAATCGTCGAGGAAGACATGGTCGTTGCGGATGGCAATACAAACGAGTCTAGACAGATGGCGAGGTTTCCTTGTATATCGTGCCATGTGCCGCAGACAGTAGCGGCGATCAAAATGCATGCTTCGTAGCCAAATCCACAAGAAGGAATCGATGGGACACACAGAGAATACCCATCTGCGACTAGGTTTATACAAGTAAAGTCTCATGTGGTGCTATACAACGGCCGGGATTACACGGCAAGTTCCAGTTGGAACGTTGAGCGTCTAACGGCTGCGGTTACGAAAGAAGAAGTACCAATAGCGTTATCAGAGTTATATATATTCAATGTTACATGAGAATTATGTCAAAACGCCATGTGAATCTACCAAGTAGCTTTACCACTTTTATAAGCTTGTAGTATAAAATTGTATTTAATATAATTTCAACACTCCAAGTTGTTACGAATACTTTTTATACCGCGATACATATTGTAATAATCAACGACTTTAATATTTCCTCACGTTGAGATGCTGATTGTCATAAGCGGTTCACGTACCCATGCCAATGTGTTCCCGATTATGAATCCGTCGATACGTCGCCGTGTAACCACATGTGCATCCTAATATTACGTGCCTGGCAGCCTACGAACTAGGTCGTAATAGGCAAGGCCTAGGCTCGTCTCGAGCCGGCATCGGGCACGCCATATTGGTTGCCTGGCCGCGTGCGCAACTTGCGGCGAAAAAACATTGATTTAATTTACCCACATTCCACAGCCTTCCGTATAGTTCGTGATAATGTAAATTCAAAAACGTAAAAGTAAAGCTAATAGTAAAGTTAAAATATTAAGGTTATGTGATAACTTTCTAAAAAACTTTAAAAATAAAGTAACTTTTATATTCAAGTAATACCAAGATCCACTTCGCGATAAGGATAAACGAAGACACAGTGTTACTGTTTTTTCCTTGCTACTAGGCTATTTTACTACCTAGGCTAGTACATTTAATATATGGCGATATATTCAGTATTAAGCTACTATACTAGTATAATATGGACTATTATACAGCTTTTACATTTGAATTTATTAATATAATAATATAAGTTTAAATAAGTATATTTTTTATAATACTTTAAATTATTTACTAAAAGGCTAGTTTTTAGGTATAAGCTCTATTATCAATTATTACTAAGCTGAAATTACCCTCTTTTTTCTACGTTTAAGTTATAATAATATTTCTTGGTTTACTTTGTAGTATATACTTCTTTTTACCAACTATACACTAGGCTATATACTATATCCTGAACCTAACTAGAGTTAATATTTTAAAAGGAATATTAATTATTATTGCTTCTTATAGTATTATTATATAACGGAAATACCGGGTTTATTATCGTACCTCTAGCAAGTATCACGGTAAATCCTAATTGGTATCAGGTTATCAGCCAGGGTGGCAAGATCGATCGCAGCTAGTGTAAGCTACCCGGTACGCTATAGCTATAACATAATACGAGTAGATAACTTAACGTACCCAACAGTACAAGTGAACCTATGAACCACACAATAACTTCGTGCTCAAGAGTATAAGAAAGGCAAGTTTGCCAGAGCATTTGCCTCATTTGGTCTGCACCGCTAATTCTATCTAGCATCTCCGTTCATCATCTACTACGTCTATACTCCTAGCTTATCTCTCTCTCATTATCCCCGACTTCCATGAAGAAGTATCAAGTGCCCTTTATTACAGAGTAGAGGCGTCAAGCAGGACATCATGGACGAGAGCTCAGCCATTGCCATCGTCGGCCATGCCTATCGCGCGCCAGGCGTCGGGCGAAAGGGCCTGTGGGACTTCTTGGCCGAAGCAAAGTGTGCCTTCTCAAGAGTGCCCGAGAATAGGTTCGACCAGGATGCCTTCCATGACCCCGATTCGCAAAAGCAAGGGTGCTTTGCAACCAAAGGAGCCCACTTTCTCCCAGGAGACGTGTACGCATTCGACGCACCATTCTTCAATCTACGGCCTGAAGAGGCGCGAGCAGTCGACCCTCATCATCGTCTGCTGCTAGAGTGCACCTTTGAAGCTGCCGAAAGCGCAGGGATAAGTCTGACTGACCTCGCCGGAGGCAATATTGGAGTCTTCACGGCCATGAGCTCCTCAGATTTCCTAGAGCATGCCCTGCTTGACCTCCCTACTTCCACAATGTGGACTGCAGTTGGCATCTCGGGAACCATGTTTGCTAATCGCCTGTCCTACTTCTTCGACCTCAAAGGGCCAAGTATCGCTCTTGACGCTGCTTGTGCTAGTAGTACTTATGCGACTCACTTGGCTTGCAAGAGCCTACTACGCGGAGAGTGTACTGCCGCCGTTGTGGGAGCAGCTTCTTTGCTGCTGGGCCCAGAGTATTGGGTCACGCTTGACACTATGGGGTGTGTATATCCTTTTTGCTTCATGGTTTGGAGACTTTGAAATACCTCTTCATAGCTAACTAAAGCTTTAATAGCGCTCTATCGGTAGAAGGAAAATCATTCTCGTATGACTCCAAAGCCTCGGGTTTTGGCAGAGGTGAAGGCGCCGCGTGCTTTATTCTTAAGAGGCTTGGAGATGCCCTTGAGGCAGGAGATCCTATTCACTCTGTGATACGAAACTCGGCTTGCAATCACTCCGGCCGCTCGGATGGCATCACCATGCCGAGCGGAGCCGCACAGATACAACTTCTACGACAAGTGCATGAGGAGATTGGCTTGGACCCCGCTGAGACAGCTGTTGTAGAGGTATGAATTTGCGAGCCGTTTACATATTCATATAGTAGCTAACCATGCCAATCTAGGGCCACGGAACCGGCACAAAAGTTGGGTAAGGACATTCCCTGACAGACTGACGAGCTCAAGCTAAAATCACATAGTGATCCAATCGAGGCAGGAGCTTTCGCAGAGGCGCTGGCGCAGAAGCGGACACCAGGCAATCCTTTGTATATTGGATCTATCAAGTCTAACTTTGGGTAAATCCTCCAACACTGACTCCAGGAGGCAGCTAGGCTAACATGTGCCGGTAGCCATCTTGAAAACGCAAGTGGTGCAATCGCAATGACCAAGGCAACTCTGATGCTTCAACATGGTTATGTGCTTCCCACTGCCCACTTCGAAGAAATGAATCCCAATATTCAGGGCAAAGAGAAGTTAATGGTATGATTTGAACGAAATCTTGGAGGCGAATGACCTATGTTGACTCAACCATCAACCCATGACAGGTTGCGAAAACGACATTGCCATGGCCAAAAGACGCCATCAAGCGCGTCTGCATCACAAACTTTGGTGAGTGACCCAGGCGATGTTTGACACCTTGTCCGGTACATAATGATGAGGTGCTAACGTGTGTGACAAACGAAAAAAGGCTTCGGTGGTAGCAATTCTGCACTCATTCTTGACGAGGCACCAAAAGGTACTGGCTCGAGGCATAAACTCACAAATGGTGTCAACGGAACCAGTTCCAACGGAATGTCTAATAGCATCTGCAATGGCGAGGGCTTTCAGCGTCATGACAGAGCCAAGAAACTTTTTGTTCTGAGTGCCAAGTCTGAAAAGAGCTTGGCTTCGTACTTGGCCTCTTTCAAAGAGTACCTGCAAACTGCTCCAGAAGATGCCGCATTCGCCCATGACCTCTCTTTCACTCTGGGACAACGCCGCACACATCATCACTGGCGAACTGCGGCGGTTGCAATCTCGGCATCTGAGCTGCAAACACAGTTGTCTGGCATCAAATTGGGCAAAACCAAGGATCAGGTCATTTCTTTCGTATTCACTGGCCAAGGCGCCCAGTAAGTTGCCCGCACCACTCAGCAACTCCTATAGCTGTCGTCCTACAGCAAATGATGGGAGGGCTATGAATCTAACATGTAGCAGACACGCCCAGATGGCCTCGGAACTACGACAATACCATGTCTTCTCCAATGCCATGGATGAGGCCGAGTATTACCTACGAAAACTGGGGGCGACGTGGTCCTTGACAGGTTAGTTTATCTTCGCATGCCCTTCGAGCTCAAGATGTAGCTGACAAGGGTATATCAACACTCCGTAGAGGAACTCGACAAGCAGGCATCAGAGTCGCGTGTGAACGATGCGGAAATCAGTCAGCCAGCTTGTACTGCAGTTCAAATTGCACTGCTCGCCTTGCTCAAGTCATTTGCCGTCGAACCGTCCATCGTAACAGGGCATTCAAGCGGAGAGATAGCCGCTGCCTACTCTGCCGGCATGTTGTCCTTCGAGACAGCCATGGCCGTTGCGTTCTTTAGAGGCCGTGCTGCGGTTGAGTTGGCTCAGAAAAGCACGCACAAGGGAGCCATGGTTGCCCTTGGCGTGGGCTATAAAGATGCGATGGCCTTGGTTCAAGACAACACGGCAGGGTACGCCGGGATCGCTGCCATCAACAGCCCCCAGAGCGTGACTGTATCAGGAGACGAGTCAGCCATTGACAACATCTTCAAGAAGGCAGAAGGGTCGGGTATGTTTGCCCGCAAGCTCAAGGTCGAAGTGGCATACCATTCTCGCCACATGGAGCAAGTCGCGGCATCCTATCGCGCGTCCATCGAGCCTTTCTTCACGCAAGCTCCTGATTCCTGTCACAAGTCAGGTGTCAGGTTTATATCCTCCGTCACGGGTCGTGCGGCTGACTCGGCGGATGCGTCCTACTGGATCGATAATCTCCTCAAGCCGGTTCGATTCGCAGACTCCATCAGTCAAATATTCTCCTCGGGCGAGGGCGACACCGCCATTGCCGGCTCCTACAAAACCCCAACCATCGTGGTCGAGATTGGGCCGCACTCTGCCCTGCGGAATCCCATAAAGCAGACACTGTCGCAGCTCTCTCAACGCGCTGATTCCAAGAATATGCAGTTTACCTACCTCCCGTCCCTGGTTCGGGGAACTGGAGCAGACGAGACGATGCTCCAGCTTGCCGGAAGTCTCTTCTCGCTGGGGCTACCAGTCGACTTTACAGCCATCAACCGGACCAACAGGAAAAATGCCCACGTCCTAACAGACCTACCAGCGTACTCGTGGGACAGGTCAACACGATATGTGAATGAAGGGCGAGCTGTCCAAAAGAGGCTGCATCCCGGTCTACCATATGACCCGCTCATCGGTTGGAAGAATCCTTCTTCTGAGGGCAATGACGCGAGTTTCAGACAGGTCTTCACCCTCGACCAAATGCCTTGGATCCGGGACCACAAAGTGGGAGGTGAAGTCATCATGCCCATGACGGGCTTCATGTCAATGGCGATAGAGGCTGCGAGGAAACTCAGCCCTACTGTCCCAGGAAGCATCGTCGTCTCCGAGTTCTACGTCAAGCGCAGTCTAGTGATTGGCGAGGATGAGCACATTGACATGACCGTAAAACTGCAACCTGTCGTCACCGGAACAGATGGGATATCCTCATCCGTTTGGAGATTTGACATCATGTCCTGGAGGAAAGAGGATGGATGGGTTGACCACTGCCACGGCCTGGTTGAGGCGCAAGAGGAGGACATGGACGTGGAGAGTCGGACGATGAAGACGGCGGTGCCGCTTGTCCACAGCCACGACATGAAGGAGAGCAGTCTATTCGACGAGATTTACGCCTCCGGACCCCGTGAAGGTACCGTCTACGGGCCTGCATTTAAATCCACCATTCGATACTGGGAGGCTCCCGGCTGGACAGTCATGGAGAGCAAGCTGCGAGAGCTGGACACGGCTCGATCTTGCTCGCCCTCTGGCTCACCATTCTCGGCCGACCCGCCGACGCTGGACGGATTCCTTCAAGGATTCCTCCCCCTACAAGATGCCGGCAGGAAATGCCGTGCCCTGATGCCCACCTATGTTGGCAGGCTGCGAGTTTCTAACCATATCCCCGTGGACCACGACAAACTCCGCCTCTTTGTCGTTTCAAGACTCATGAGCCACGACGTCAAAACGGAAACACTAAAGATCACCGTTGCAGCCTTTGCCCAGCTTCCTCATTCGCTGCTGCCTATTGCCGAGTGGGAATCAGTAACGTTTCGGTCCATCTCCTCGGCACACGCCAGTGATGCCTTGTCTCGTCTCCCCGCCTCCTTCTACCACGAGTTGCTGCCTGCTCTCGACTTTGCCAGCGACGCAGACTGGCCCAAGTTCATCACTGCTGCGCCCGCCGACGAGGACGGGCTTCGCAAGCGTGTGCAGCACGAACGAGTTGCACTCGAGTACATGAAGAGGGCCGTAGATGGGACCTCTGACCTGGACTACTCGGACCTGCCTGAGCATCTCTGCAAATTCATGTCTTGGGCCAAGCGCTGCGTTGCCAGGGAAGAGCATAGACTGATGAAGGAGCCGCTTCCCGACCTGTCCCGGATAGCCAAGGCCGATGCTGGCGGCGAGTTGCTCTGCGCCGTTGGCGAGCAAATGGTGCCCATCCTGCGCGGCCAGGTGCAGACTCTCGAGATTATGCTCAGGGACGGTCTTCTTGCCCGCAACTACGAGCAGGACACGTCCAACATGCGAGCCGCCGTAACACTAGCCAAGTGCGCCCGTCATCTCTCCGATATCAACCCCGAGCTACGCATATTGGAGATTGGAGGGGGAACAGGCAGTGCAACCCTGCCCGTGTTGGAAGAGCTCTGGGGTGATGCCACCGGGCTGGCTCCGTTCCGCGACTACACCTTCACCGACATCTCGGCGGGCTTCTTTGAGAATGCTCGCGTCAAGCTGGCAACGTGGAACCAGCGCATCATCTACAAGAAGCTTGACATTACCCAAGACCCGGCCACGCAGGGCTTTGCCCCTGGGGACTACGACTTGGTCATCGCCTCCAATGTTCTACACGCCACAGCCGACATGACGGTCACCATTGGCAACGTTCGATCGCTGCTGAAGCCAAACGGCAAAATCCTTCTCCTCGAAGCCACCAAGCACTCACCGGTGACTCTGCCCTTTTCTCTGCTCCCCGGTTGGTGGTACGCAGTCGACGAGTACCGCAATCTAGAGGAGGGGCCTCTCCTATCCGACGACGGCTGGCGGCGCCTTCTTCACGCACAAGGCTTCTCTGGTGTTGACGTTTGTATCAAGGACTATGAGGATCCTTGTAGCCATCTCATGAGCGTCATGTGCACAACCAAGGTGGGTAAGCCGGAGACCTGCAACGGCTCTTTACGAAGCATTACCGTATGCGGCCTGTTCATGGACGAGGAGGAACTAGACTTTGCCCAGCTGGTGGCAAGCCAAGTATTCGAGGCCACGGGGCGCCATTGTAAAATCCAGACTTTCCTGGACATTGACGCTGAGGATGATGATCTCTGCATCTTCATCGACTCCCCGGCCAACAGCCTCCTGGCCGACCTCTCACAAGAGACGTTTGAGATGTTGCAGAATATCCTGCTTGAGACTAGGGGGCTCCTCTGGGTTGTCCTGGAGAATGCTGGCCCAGAGTCCCTCTCTATACAGGGCATCATGCAGTGCCTCCGGTTGGAGATGGAGCCCAAGAACTTGATGTGCTTCAAGAACGCACCGCGCAGTCTCGTGGGCGCCGACGCCATCGCCAAGCTCGCACGGCGCCTTCAGGATGCCGAGCTCGCGGCTAGCTCTGATCACGACTTTGTCTGGCAAGACGGCATGATCAAGGTGCCTCGCCTGCGTCAGTCCGTCGAGGCCAAGGAGGTTTTCGGTGCCGAAACGGGCGTTTACGTGCGCAAGAAACAGAATATCTGGGAGGACAAGGCGTCGTTTGAGATTACCATGGACACTGCCGGCGCGCCCGAGTCGCTCTACTTCCGCCGGACTGATGCCCTCGTTCGACCCCTAGGCGACGGCGAGGTGCTGGTCAAGGTGGAAGCCGCGGGCCTCAGCTCGCGCGACCTCCAACTCGTCTTGGGCGCCGTGCCCTGGGCGCCCCCCGGCCTCGAGGGAGTAGGCGTCGTCTCCAAGGTCGGATCTGGCGTCAGCAGCCTCGGGCCGGGAGACCGCGTGTACTACGGCCTCCACGGGGGCTGCTTGGCCACGCACGTCCGGATGCCGGCGTGGCAGGCGAACAAGGTCCCGGACGGCTGGAGCAACGCCGACGCGGCCAGCATCTCCATTGCCTACCAAGTAGCATACCTGGCTCTCTGCCACCACGCGCGGCTGAGGAAGGGGGAGACGGTTCTCGTCCACGCCGCCTCGGGGGCCGTTGGCCAGGCGTGCATCGTGCTCGCACAGCACATGGGGGCTCGGGTATTCGCCACCGCGGGCACCAGGGAGAAGCGCGTCCTTTTGCGCGACACGTATGGCATTCCCGAGTCTTGCCTATTCTCCAGCCGAACGGCCGAGTTTCGCAACGGCATCCTGTGTGAGACGGACGGCAAAGGGGTCGACGTGGTGGTCAACTCGTTGAGCGGCAGCCTCTTGCAGCAGACGTGGGCCTTGATGGCGGACCTGGGCCGCTTCGTCGAGCTCGGCGCAAAGGACTCGCGGATGAATAGCAGCCTGGCCATGAGGCCGTTTGACCGCAACGTGAGCTTTAGCGGCATCGACCTTTGCGCGTACGCCGAGAAGCGACCGGACGAGGTACGGCAGATGGTTGCCGAGCTCCATGGCATGCTGCGCCGAGGAGTCATCAAGCCGATCCGCTCCGTCGCCACGGTGCCCGTCTCGGACCTCGCGGCCGCTCTGCGGAAGCTCCAGTCCGGGCAGCACATGGGCAAGATTGTCATCAGCATGGGGCGGCATGACGAGGTGGTGGCCGAGTGCCACCCCGAGCTGGGACCTACACACGGCACTCTGCTTCGTCCCGACGCGACCTATGTCATCACGGGGGGCACGGGCGGAATCGGCCTCTTCTTGGCCCCGTGGATGGTCGAGCACGGGGCGCGAAACATTGTGCTGCTGGGGCGCAGTGGCGATACGCGGCCCGAGGTGCGCAAGGTGCTGCAACGGTACAAGGACACCGACGTTGAAATCAGGGCCATTGCTTGCCATGTCGCGTACCGGGAGCAGCTGGAGGCAGCGCTCGATTCCATCACGGACCTTCCCCCTGTTCGCGGTGTCGTCCACGGCGCCCTCTTCCTCAAGGTGAGTCGATTTGACAGTCGTACATGATGTTTGTGTTTGACCCTCTGATAATGACATGTCTAGGACGCCATGTTCATGAACGCCACGTATCAAGACTGGCAGAACATCACGGGGCCCCGAGTGCAAGCCGCATGGCACCTCGACGAGATGCTGCCGAACCTCGACTTCTTCATCATGCTGTCGTCCATGCTGGGATCGTGTGGCAATGTGGGACAGGCCATCTACGCGGGCACAGCGGTACGTATCACGGCTCTTCGCTTCCGTCGCTTGCATTCAGACATGGTGTGGAAGCTAATGCCCTCGGCTTAGACATTCTTTGACGGATTCGTCGACTACCGACGCACGCGCGGCCTCCCAGCCACCTCGATTGCCTTGCCCGTCGTCCTGGACGTGGGCTACGTGGCGGACCGCAACCGAACCGAGGAGTTGAAGGAGAGTCTGGGGGCCTGCCTCTCGCGGCCGCACCTCGAGGTGCTCATGCGAGGCGCCATCATCGGGTCCTCGTCGGGCCTGAATTTCCAAGGCAAGGCCATGTCCTTCCACCTCGAGACGGGGGCCGGGACGGACGGCATGGCCTGGCAATGCTACAACGTGAGAGACTTTCGCCGCATCGCCCGGACCGAGCAGGCCGGACAAGCGGCGGGCTGCGACACCCAGGGCAAAAGACGGTCGCAGGGGCTCGGGGACGCCGGCAGCGAGGGCTACTCTGAGAACCTGCTCGGCGCGCTGATGGACAAGGTTTCGTCCATCACCATGATTGACCGGGACGAGGTCGAGGCGGACGCGCCGCTGGCCAACTACAGCTTGGACTCGCTCGTGTCTGTCGAGCTGCGCAACTGGATACGCAGGGAGACGGGGGTCGATCTTCCGCTCGCCAAGCTTGTGAGGTCCGCGAACCTGAGGGCCGTAGCTGCATACATTGTTCCCGGTGCCAAGACGGGGGCGTGATGCATGACACGAATGATGCATGTCTCCCTAGTTCATGTACAAGGGGGGAGCTGGAGAGAGATGGACAGAATAAGGGGGGGAGGAATGGATCAAGCTTCCTGCTTGCTAGCAGAGTGGGCGGGTGCTTGCTTTTTTCACGGGTGATCGGCTTGTGGGAGTCATTTTATTGTTGTCATTTTACTGGACGCTATGTGTGTACGGAGTATTGATTCATTTAATTCATTCATTCGTCTAATCCGCCCGATGACCTAAGACAGGAGGGCAAATCTGCGTAATTACATAACCCTTGTCAAGCATTGATTGTGTTGATGCTAGTCAACTGACTTTTTACATTGCTTTTATTCCTGAGCGGCGAGACCAAGGTTGACTATATTGGGTCCTATATCGACTGAAGTCTATCTACAAGGCTATTTATATTAAACTCCTGACTTTGCGTGGTGATTTGTTGTTGAGCCGATTCCAGCTTCGGGAGGGCACAGAGTTACACGATCTGGCTACAAAAACAGCGCAAGGGATCTGTGTTAAGCTGATGGCTCGACAGAGCCAAATTACTTCTGAACAGTCTGGTTCGGTTGGTCAAGGCGAAATATAACGCATCGTTCACCTTGCTAGAATTCCTTGTACCTACAATACACCACTTCAAGCCACATTTCTGCGCCACTTGAAGCCACAAAAGTCACGTTTTCTACGTAATTGTTGCGCGTGGCGGAATTAACATTTGTCCGGCGCTCCCTTTCCCCAACTGCCTTTGCTTCAGTCATCATTTCGCAAAACCATTGCAGTTATTTGAGAATGATGCAATTTATTCCATTCCCCTTCCTAAAGAGGCTATGGAAACTACTGTCAGCCCTTGTGACGTGGATATCATATGGGCTGTCACCCCCGAATCGAAACCACAACCAATCGTTACCAGAAGCAGAAGCAGACGAGATCAAAAACTGTACCCCTACGAGTCCATCCGATAATAATACGTCACCAACCTTCCCACTTACAGAAGAGCAAATAAATAGTTCAATTCAGAAGTTTATTGATAGTGTAAATAAGGCTGCTGTTTGTGAGTTGGTGTCTAGGCATAATGGCGGAAAGCGCTGCCAAGTCATCAATCAGCAAAACGGTAGCTTCAATCTGTGCTTTTTCGTTCAGTTTCATAGTGATGAATCTGATGATACAACATGGGTCTTGAGGATACCAATCGGTCCAGCTGTTTGCAATCCCTGGGATAAGCTTGTAAGTGAGGTAATAACAATGCGGTAAGCTTCAAATGTTTCGGTTTCCATTGCTAGCTAAATAAAAAGCAGCTAAAATGTGTATAGGTATATTAAACAACATACCTCAATTCCGATCCCCACTGTCTATGCATACGGGAGAGACAGCGCATTAATACAGGGCAATTCAATTCCTTTCATCTTGATGGAATTTATACAAGGGCAACAACTTGATATACGGACAGTTTTACACGCTACACATTTCCAACGAAGAAATTTGTATGTTGATATAATCAACACCCTAGCTCAATTACGCCCACTTGAGTTCCCGTCCGCAGGCTCATTACTACCGAACCCAAACAAGACATTCGACTCTACGGCCAGTCCCACTATCGATTCTACAGTCGATGCTACCCTTGGCCCATTCCTTTCTATGACGGCCAACGAGTTTATACGAAACGGTGGAAAGCCAATAGAAGCCGAATTATTTACATCCTCAAGACGCTTTATCGAATATCATGGTCATATTTTATCACAAACATATAAATTACCGGTTGAAAGCCTTAGTCACAGACAAGCCAAAATGGAATTATTTGCCCTTGACAGTCTAATCAAGGAGATTCCCAAGCGTATAAACTTTCAGAAACTTAGCGAAAAACATGTGCTGGCCCACCCAGATCTAAGATGTGGTAATATCATCGTTACTAGCGACTTGCATATTCTTGGTATTATTGATTGGGAGTTCACTAGCGCGATTCCTCTGCAATTATTCACACCACCGTCATGGATTATGGGTCATGATCCCAGTACCTTGCGCATTGCCACAGGTATTCACCGTGGCAATATTTTCCCAGAATTCTGTGGTGTTCTGAAGGACATGTGCCACACCTCTATTGCCTGCACACAGCTATGGCACGACTGGGGCCTTGAAGATGAGCGACCCCGGCAAGACTACATGTACGATATTAAGCAAGTTTCTCCACTGATGCAAATACTTCGCCAGCCGTGCAGTCTCATAGAGGTATACTACTCCTCTATCTTTCCAAAGCTATTTGGACCGGAGGCGTGCAAAGACACAGTGATGAGTGAATTCTTTGCAGACGATAAGAATCGGGAGTTTTTGGAGCAGGTAGAGGTTCAAATGAAGAATTCTCAACGATATACTGATCATCTCAGGAAACATAATCTGCTTGTTGAGGATGACCGGATTCAACTGATACAAGAATTCCTTGAAAAGACAAAGTTCCTAGTTCAAGGCGAACAGACATGATATTGATAGTCCTTAAGCAGCCACTCAATTAAGTTTTTTTCGTCGACTCTCGTTCCTCCTCCTGTAACTCTGCCAACTCGTACCACAGCCTCACAATTACTTCGTCTTTGTCAGCAATTTCCTTCTGTAGAGCAGTGACCCTTGCATGCATGTCTTCAACAGGAGTTCATCTATTGGGAGCTGTCATGTTCTTATCCAATACAGAGAGGTACAGAGTATTGTGGCGCCCAACGGCTGTGTCAGCACGTGAGTCGTGACCTTCCCAGAATCCAGATGGTCGAAGTAGGAATATGTCTATTGCCACGGTGAACCTCGTTGACGGACTTTGACTCTTTGTACTGTTGGCCATCGTACGGGCAAAGTCGAATACTGATGTAATAGTAAAGAGAACGTGCGCTATTGCTAAGCAAAATTGCTACAGCTCCTTGCGATATTTCTGAGAAACGGCCGGAAAACAGGGACACGAGATGCGCCGACTGTACCTTCACGGCCCGAGGTTCGGCTACTGCATGTCTTTTATTATCACCTATGCTGCATTATCGCAACTCTGCTTCAACTTCACAGCTCTCTGCCGCACGCCCAGCCCTTTGGGACAATCACAATTACTGTTGACAGAGACGGCCACAGCTATCAAGCTGCCCTTGGAGTAGAAACCACCACTATTGACAAAAACATGTACTCACTGTCGTTCTGCAATATTTGTGCTGGGCTAGACTTCTCTCGCCTCCTCTCAGAACAGGCCGAAGGCCCAGTTGCCGTAAAAAACCTTGAGCGAACTCGCATTAGGCGGCGCTCCGAGATCCAGAACAGAATAGATCAAGGATGCCCGCTTTGTAAGCTCATCTCTGATGCCCCTAGAACTGCCTGGGATGTGTACCCCTGGGAAATGCCAGGATAGGACTAAACGTACATGAAGCAAGCTGAGGCGACAATTATCCCGGGGCATAACAGTTTTAAAGTCCATTTCGAGAAGCCAGCTGGCGAAAAACACATACTCGGACGCACCAAACTTGACATCTGCCGGCTGGACTCGGCGGACTTCTACTTCCGGATACTACGTCCAATGGCGGGTCTGCGAACGGTCAATTCATGGCTGAAAACCTGTCTAGAAAGTCATCAACTATGCTGCAAGGAAAGATGGCCTGAAAGCTTCATGCTGGGAATAGTTTTCCGAGTGAGAGCTTGGCTCCGTAACGTGGTTGGCTGGGCGAAGCCGCCTCCATTCAATCCGTACTTTCGTCTTATCAACACCAAAGCCCGCAAAATAGAGGACATGGAACCATCTGTTGCCGTGGGCTACGTGGCCTTGAGCTACACCTGGGGCGAGGTAATTCCGGTAAGACCCAAGTTTCACAAGCAAATGGCGGCGAACAACGGCAACACGTGCATTCCACTCCCCAAAAAGCTACCAGGAACCATTGCAGCTGCTATTAAGCTGGCGTCTGACATTGGCATTGAGTACTTGTGGGTCGATTCTATTTGCATTGATCAGGAAGATAGTTTTGAGAAGCAGGTACAACTAGCGAACATGGCTGAGATATACGGCAGAGCCACGGTCTGCTTGGTTGTGGTAGCTGCAGATAATATGGACTTTGGTCTTCCAGGATTCAGCAATAGGCGGACTCGAGACGCACAATTGCCTTTATATGTATGGGATTATACTCTAGGATGTGGACTAGAACACCCTTCCAACATTATTGAGAAGACGTATTGGAACACAAGAGGCTGGACTTTCCCGCACATGCTACTGGATTGCCATGACAATTTTGCCTCGCTCTTTCACTTGTACATTCAGTGTGTGGCAAAGTACACGTCCCGTAGCCTTGGCAGGGCAAGTGATGGGTTAAATGCCCTCCAGGGCGTCCTTGGCCCTCTGGAGCGCCACTTTGGAAGCATCATACTAATGGGGCTTCCAAAGATGCTACTGGCGTCCGCTTTGGTCTGCGATGTCAGGGACGATGGAACTTTGAGGCGCCGATATCGAACCCAAGATCCGACGGAACTGAAATATCCCCGTCTCCCGTCCTGGACTTTGGCTCCTTGGGAAGGATCAATGTATTAGTTGGGCCAGGCCTACCGACTACAGCGTCGTAAAGGCCCATCACGGGACCGATCCGGACTGGGCACAAGACTGCAGCCATGTCTCCATTGTGTCGGACCTCCCAATGGAGGCTGGGTTCGTGACACTCTTTGCTCATGAGAAACTTCAGGGGAATCCGCAACGTTATCTGGCCGGCATCCTTCCCATGGTGGCCCGCGTCGTCGTCTGGCCCACGTCTGAGCATCAGCCGGCCGGTCCGGGACGCTATCCCGGGCGCAACCTCTTTTGGGTCCCCATGTGCGACATCCGGGACAAGGATAGAGATGTTACCGATGGCAGCGAGGGTGTCTGCAAGTTCAACTCTGCCTACAATAATATCACGCTACATTATTGTGATGGTTCCAGAGACACTGTTGTCAAACTTGGCTCTGAAAATGTGCCGAGTATCGCCCGAAAGTCTAAGCAGAAGGTCCAAATCCCCTTTGGACCGCCACGACCGGCCACTAGGCGTGATGAATTTTCGTGTGGTTTCAAATGTTTGTCGAGCTGCCGTTCAGCTCATAAACGAGCCACCAACAGCCAGCACAGTTTTAATGTCATCACTTTGTGACGCTTTACTCCGAACAACATTCCACCCAAAGTCCAGTTCATGAATGAGAGCCCATCGCCCGGGCCCGCCGCCGGGCCATCGGGCAGGCAATAGACACGGCGGGGTGCTGGAACCCGTGATAGGTAGATATCCCAAGATAGGGGGACGCCAGGTTTGTATTTGCTCCTCGTTACAACTCTTGAACTTGACGTGTCAGTGGGTGAATCTAGGCGGACAAGCCATTGTTGCGGCTGAAGAACCATGTGGCAGCAAGGTGGCGTTCTGTCAGACATGCACGTCCGCATCTCCCCCGCAGCATGACGCGGATTCAGCTACGTATTGGGATCCTCAGTCCGGACGAAACCAGGCAGCTCCGAGTTTGCACCTGATGATCTGCCTCACGGCTTCATCGCCTCTCGATAATAAGCGGCTAAAGCTAAGTGGGAATACAGTTCAGGTCAGTCCCGCCTTGGTAAACGTCGGCCGCGAGAGCATCTTACCCTCCAGGCCAGGGACATATATTGGCCCCGACTCGCAAGTTAGTAGCTGTGGTCAAGTACATCAAGTTTGAATCCAGTGCCATGTATCAAAACGTCGTCATATACTACAATGATTCCGTTGACTCGGATAATCTGGCTGCTGCAATGGCGCTGATGCGGGCGATGGAGACGAGACCAAATACCCGTCTTCTCTGGATCGTGGAGCCTCGCCAGGTGTCCTTTGGCCTGAGTCCGACAAAGGAGCAACAAGACGAGTGCGAAAAGGTTGTAAAAAAACACTTTCCTACGCGCGGGAATCCTTGGAAAATTCTTTTTGGTGGTCTTCTGAGCGAGAGCGACCTCAACGGCATTGAGGAGCTTAGTACGCACGACCGAGAGCTGGCAAGTTACCCACGGAACTCCCAAATCACTTCCTGTACTAACACATCCAATCTTTAGCTCCAATTGGCGGTGAAGCCAAGCTACGGCCCGAAACAAGACGCCATATTACATAGGCGTCTCACGGCTTGGGATCAAGTGACCTGCATGGCACGTTGGTCCAAAGCTTCGGTTGAGATATTCATGGATCTCGAGAGCCTCGACGAGATTGAGAATCCGGTCAATCTAAACTTTCATTACAAGGAAGAACTTGCAGCTCGCAGCGTAGAAGAGCTCATGTCATACCAGGATATCATGAATAAGCCTTTTGCACAACGGGTTGAGAGCCTCAGAGGGTGGTACAGGAGATGCATAGAGCGGGCAGAGACGAGGCCAGAGAATCATGGAAGCTCGGTTCGCCCTCTCGACTTCAACTCGCTCTGCGATGCCATCCAGACGGCGGGCAGTGTCCGCTTTTTTGGAGGCGCATCGCTTACAATCCTCCAGCGATTCATTCAAAGAGGTGTTGCCAGCAATGTGCGGTGCCATCTTCAAGTGGTACGCAATCATGAACAGGACCTAATACATGCATGACTAAAAGCTCTCTAGGGGTCCTACGATCCATCTGCCAACCTGTTCCCAAACCAGTTTAACATTTCGCTTAATCCAAAAGCCGCCAGGTTTGTTTTTGATCATTTTACAGAATTTTCTGACTTTGCCGTCGTGCCGAGCCACGCAGCACAGAGTACTAAATACTCATTGGCGGGCTTAAAGCACGAGGGCGGGCGTTGCTTGGAGAGGAGAGTACTAGGTTTCAACTGCCATGAGGACCCTCTGAAGATTGCTGAGAAGCAAGTCACCATAGAGAAGGATTATCCGAACCGAGCATGCACCATGCCTGATCTTACTGCATTCCTGTGTGCACTTATCCCTAACTTCAATGGCTCAACCTTGGGTTATGCACAGGTCGACGATGATAACGGTGCGCTTATATTCAGAAGGGAAAGCTCAGGCATTCCAATGTATGATATAATGGATAACAGAACCTTGAAGGAAACCGAGGTTGTTGCTACATTGTCGTCGTTAGCAGCCGGAAAGGACATGCCAGAGCTTGTGTTATAAGGTCGGACACTATACCTGAACCTAGGCAGGCACTGTCGTTTCTTTGTTCAGTCTTGTCGACTGTGATGGGGGCTGAGTCACTGTTTGTTCAACATCTAGGTGCCGTACAATTATGATCTATCTAAAGCCAAGGAGGAAAGAAGGAGAGCTACCAATGTGCCTTCACAGCCACTTTGCACAATGGCATCAACGAGGATGAGGCCAGTAGCCGTATGCTGGTATGAGGAATAAAGGATAATGAAGTCTGGTGGAGAAGGCTCCTCGAGTGGTCGACAGAACAGAAAGACAGTACGCACCGCAACGGATGCAAAAAGTCAGTTATGGAGGCAACCAAGGTATGTGGAAACTGAGGCTTTAAGGGCATTTACGGGCCACGGCAGAGGTGCGATATTCTGTTCATTAGCCCAAAGTGAAATCCAAATGAAAATGGGGCCCGGCACGAGTAAACAGTGTTTGTGTATCTCTAGGACTCTCTACACTAAGGGGTGTGGGATGTGGGCTAAATCGGCACAAAGGTTTAAAACTGCGTCTTGGGGAATTTTTCTGGAGTAGGAGAAGCGCTCGTACAGCGAAATCTTGTCCTGGCAGTTCTCTTCGCATATTTTGATGAATACCGTCCAATACCAGCCATACTTTAAATACGATACTTTGCAAACGACGCCAAGTTCAATGCGACTTTGCAGACTCAAGAGTGGCGCGAAAGACGGGGCTATTTACTGCGAGCTTTTTTAAACTATTATCGAAGATGCTGCCAATCAGTACCGTGCCCTGTCCTATTGTTGGATGACCAATAAAGCTCAGAGAAGGATTTGGCTAAATGGTATAGCTTTCAGGATCCAAGGAAAGTCTAATGGGAGCCCTTCGAGCTCTGAGGCATGAAGATGACGATATAATCATGTGGATTGATGCGCTGTGTATCAATCAAGGAGACCAAATTGAAAAGGAATACCGGGTGTCTCTGATGGATAGCATATTCACGCCATTGCGGTGGATATATTGCTAGGTGCACTTGAAAATGCGAGAGTGGCCCCCCATTTTTTCGACCATACATTAACAAAGGGAAGCGAGCATCATGATATAGGTACTGTCTCCAAGGACGTTTCCCTCTCATGCGAAATCGTATGCGCGCGACCATATTGGAGTCGTGCTTGGATCATTCAGGAAGTACTCCTCGCCAAGTCCCTGACTATTCACTGCGGGATGCAACACATATCATGGTCAACATTCTCCCAGGTCTTGGAACAGCTCATCCATAGGCAAGAGTACTGCCATTTGAAGACGCTTGGATTTTCTTATCAGCTGTGCGTATTGCTCTCCAGATATGCAAATCGCAGTGGATGCCGAGAGAGGGTTCCTATATTGCTACTAGACCATCTTCTTGATGCATTTCGTGGAGTGAGATGCTATTTTACTAGGAGAGAATCTTCTCTATTCGTGGAATTTGTCAAGAGCTGATAATTTACAAAAGATTTCTGGTGAGCTACTCTATAGATCTGGGAACGCTCTTCCTGGCAATAATCCCACTTTGCGAACCGCCGTCGCCCACTCGACTTGCGCATCTGCTCCAAGAGGCCTTGCGTGTCACAGCAACCGACGTGAATATGAGCGAGTTGAGACTATTTTCATGTCCCCGTCAGGATTACCGAAATTTCGTGCTTTCTAGATTAGCTCGAAACGTGATCCGAGGATATCGACGGCGGCTTGGGGCTACCAATACGCCATCACAATCGGCCCTTAAAAAAGCTGTAAACATGGAGGAATTTTTAAACCCTCCAAGTCTAACTGGACGTCATTCAGGCAATTTTGCAAAACATGTTCTGTTCCGTCCTCAACCATGTACACTAAATTCAATGTAATGTATTACGTTGAGGAAGCACGGCTAGGTCTCAAATTTCGACCAACAATGCTTGGCCTAATTTTAACAGGCAGCGGTGGGCCACTACGAGACCTTGGCACCGTGTTAAAAATCCAGTGTAGTGCCAGCACCGCAAAAAGCTATAGCACGGTGCCATCATTTTACACGGTGGAGGCATAGTGCCTGCTGGGTGCAGGTATGGTGCCAGCACGGTGCTACGGAGGTGCCAAAAGGTCAGTGTTTGTAAAGTTGACAGCTAAGAGGGGCTCATAGCATGGGTTCTACCAATCAGACATGATGGCCTCTGGGTATTTGCAGTAGTGAGTGAAACTACAACCCTTTCGCTAAAGCAATATATGGAGAGCTCCATGTCATGTTATATGTAGACATACCCCCACAACAAAGCTTGGTTTATTGAACGAGGATATCAAGCATTGTATGAGTTTACCCTGCAAGTGGCCGGTGCGTCAACGACTGATAACAGGACAGGACCCTCGGGATTTCTTGTAAGACAGTATGCGCGTCCTCCAATCCGTAATCTCTCAGCCGAGTTAAGACGATACTCTTGGGAATACTTGCGACCCTTCTTCCCTAAGAATTGGGAATCTGACTTTCTAATATTAACGGCATTTATATCTGACGTTCGCAGTCATTTAAAGAGACCAGCGGACATTCGAAATGATAACGGGTGCATTTGGACTATCCCTTAAAGGTCCCTTGAGAGTTTGTGTCGTCGCGGAAAATGAGAAAGTAAGGGTAGAACCACGGCCGGCTTGGTATGGAGTACATGCATGAAATTGGATGTCAGGGGGAGATTGGGCATTGCTGGTGCCACGTAACCCAGAAAGACCAGCATGACTAGCGGGAACTGGACATGGGATTATAGGCAGAACAACCTTGATAAACTGAAGAAGATGCTATTGCCCCTGAGCAGTATGTAGGCAAATACCAAGGTGTAGCCGCAGGCTATAAACCTGTCATTTGATGAACTAGTCATCTATCTAGATTATCTATAAAAAAGGGCCTCGTTTACCTAGATAGATCGTCTGAATCAAGGATTAATTCCGCGCTCAATCGCATCTAGCTGCTGAATAGTGATAACTATTTATAGTAATAGAGCTATATTATCTAGTTTGGTGAACATCGTACTGTTATGAAATTATTTAAATGAACTTTACCTTGAGTCTTCTACATAACCCCCCGAATAAATGCGGTCTGTAGGCAAGTTGTAGTAACCTATATTCGTGTTCTTATACGGAGTACCGTTATATTATTTCGCTATAGCGCACGTTAGCAATATCCCCTATTACCATGCTACTCTAGTAGCAGACATTTCAGATATCCGAAGTCTATATATATGTCAACAAGACCGTGCTCTGCAGAGGCCAATAGGCCGGACCAGTTATCAACGTATCAACGACGAGGGCTGGGCCGATGCTCCGCTTGGCTTGGTGTTTGAGGCGGCCTGTTGGTAATGCAAGGAAATCCAAGCATTATCCGAGCAACAACAGTACGAAGCGATAAATGAGGTTCAGGGCCAATCGCCGCAGGATCTTCCGGTGGGATTCGCAGGGTCTAGATTCGGGTCTAAAGTAGGGTCAAACCCAAACTCCCTGCATCACACCCCGGCTTGTTCTTGACGCGCGGCTTAACAGGGAAGCTATAGCGCGAGACATGGAACACGACTGGCGCGAAATGCTGTGAAGAGTCGCATTGATCCGCTTAGCCGCAGCGAAGGGGCTGGAGAAGAGCCTGATCCGCCTTAAGGGCCCACTACATGAATGTCATTGATGTCAAGTGTTGATATGACCTGTAGTGCATCGCATTATGTACTTACGTTTCAGGGTTTAATTGCATAATATAAATCTTGACAGGTAGATGACTCGTATTTATATTGGAACTTTTTTTGCCACATATTGTCTATCTTGAATAAACCACGTAACTCAAGTAGCTGTTTTTGTACGTTGCCCAGCCATATATGTACGTGACTTTAATTTTAATAATATTGAAGGAGTTGAGATTGAGGTAGAATTGATGACCAGCCTGCTTACATGCCTCTAGCTTATCGGCGCCACCGATATCTTTACAAATGTCCGCTACAAAGGTCTCGGGGGAAGGCTGTAGTTTCTGATAACGCTAATGCCAGCCAACATGCATAGCCTCGTTTTGTCCCGGCGTAAATTTTTTCGCGCACGCTCTGTTACCTAGTATTAGCTATTATATAACTGTCGGCAGCGTAATAGGGAGATAGCGTACTCGTAATTGTGCGTCATGTTATGACTCGTAGCGGTGTATACCTTATGACTCGTAGCAGTGTATACCTTGTGACTTGTAGCACTTGAGTAGTATACAACGTCTAAATTCTACTATCCTACTCTTGGCCGATAATACAGATGTATAGTGTTCGTGGATTATTTTATAGAGACTAATATTAATTTTACGATTTATTAGCCTCTCTTTTAGATTTTACTGTACTTTACACCTAATATAAAGTGAGGTATAGTATAATTTACCTACCTAGAAATAAAAGTAACGTTACAAAATAAAGTAGTATAAATATCGGGCCGATAAAGGTAGAGTAATATACATGACTCGAGCTTAGTCAAGAGCTTAGTAGTATTTCCATATCCAGCTTACTATTCCGGAATAATACATTTACTAATTTAAAGCACTTGGCAAATTAATACGTAGTAAGAAATTTACCTGCCTACTATATATAGTTAGACCAGGAATCCACTACTATTTATATAATACTTAGGCTATAAAAATCAAGAAATATTTAAGTAAGTTAAGAGCTCTTCCAAAATTATTTATTCTTGTATTATTATACTTTACTTCTAGCTTTTAAACAACTAAACAAATTTAGTCAAGGTCTTTCCCAATCTTTATTATTCACTATGCAGCACGCTATAATTATATGGCTAGCTGCCTTTACGAGCGCTACCGTGTTGGCAGTCCCACTAGATACTGTCCAAGACGCTCAGAATGAATGCTGCACAGGATTTTCTTTGGGAGAGGACCCTGTGTGCCCGGAAGATGAAGACTTCCCGAAGGATGGGATTTGTTGGGGTAATCAACATCCTAGACGCGTTCCACGACCTGCCGGACGTGACCCCGCCGTCTTGGGCCAAAAATGGGTGCAAATGGTGAATGCCTTTGCTGATAAGCGAGAAATTACACCCGAAGCAAAGCAAGGACTTTTAGATATTATTCCTAGCTGCCACTTGGACAACGGTTCCTTCCACCCTGCCTTCGGCGGGGGTAATGCTAATGCTGGAGTGCGATGTACGGTTGATTCAGAAGAGCAGAGGCCAACACCTAGCGGCGACGACCATCGATCTGACACCACCGTCTTGGGCCAAAATTGGCTGCAAATATTTCACAAGGTCGAAGCTGGATCAAAGCAGAAATGGGTGGATTCAATTTCCAGGTGTCAAATAAACCTCTATGCATTCATCCCGAATAGGATTCTGGAGCTTGATGATATTAAGGAGGTATGGTGTCAATACGCTTAATCCGATGGAATAGTTACCTAGGACTTGCTGTCGGACAAGGCTTTCTATGTTGGTTGGACGGGGCAGGCTTAACGTGGTTGCTGTATCTCATGTAATCACTTATAGTAGATGGGTTAAGAGGCTAGCCAGCTACCTTAGTAGAATTAGAATTGTTGGGTTACTCGAATAGTCGCTTTAATACAAGTCAACTATTACAGCCAGGTATTTCTATATTTTAGGTTAGACTAGTTTACTATAAAAATATATTATAAAATCTATCGCGGAATTACTTGCGTCCGGCTTTGTCCGCGCGGACATTTCCAATCCCGAAAAGGAGCCCGAGTTGCATAGCCTTGTCATGAGATATCAAATTCACAAGTGCAAAAACCACATTTGTGGCGTGTCTATTGATGAATCTGGAAAATTGCAATTTTTGATAATCACTAAAAACGCATACAAAACGACCGCAGAGCAGTGTGCGGCTGTGACAGGATCCTCAGGCTATTTACTCGAGTCGTAAAAGTAACTTGACTTCCAAAAAAGGTTGGACTCCTAATAAAAATGGCCCGAGCCCTGCTGAGGTAAAAGCATCAACGTTGGTTTCGTGGCAGACTGCGGTCTGGCAGACCACCCTCAGACGGTCTGTCTGTTGGCCACACTGTCTCGGAGAGCACTCTGATACTGGGTAGGCTTATTCATCCCCATGCGTTGGGTCACGGCCGACAACGCACGAGATGGCTTGAGACGGCCCAGTTGTGGGTGCGGGAAACAGGGATTCCTCCAGCTCTTCAATCGTCTGCCCCCCAAGATTTTCAGTAATAAAAGGGATATAGTTGCTAACTCTGGTATAGAGTGAGGGAGCTTTGTTGCAGAAGTGGCCGTCTGGTGTGTCTCTTAGGGTCCTTGCCACGATACCGATTATCTTTCCGTCCTGGACAAGAGGGCCGCCGCTGTCACGAGCACATATATTCTGGCCATCTCCACCAGCACATACTAGATTTTGGTATGTATTTTGAATAAGTGGGTTCAATGGCTTTATCTCAAACTTTTGGCAGTACTCGCGTGGGCGAACGGTAAGAACAGCCTTGCGAAGATTATCAGGGCCGGGAGGAACCTTGGAAGAGGTGAAGTTGTAGGGGGTTTGCAATCCCCTTGCCAGTTAGTTAGCGTCTTTCCAACTATATCCAAGTTAAATAGCACTTACCAGCCTGCGACAGTTGCATTGGAATTGGCTGGGGGATCCGAGCCGTCTGCTGGTAGCGGTATGTGGCGAATCGTGTTGCTCTCCTTAATTCGAGTTGATAATTTTAAGATAGCAATGTCATGAATACGCTTCGTTTCAATATATGCATAGCCAGGAGCTGTTTTAGCAAGTGAAATATTTGCTTCTACTCCGTGTGCATTCTTATCCTATAAAATTATTAGTTTTATATTAACTACTTATAAATATTTTATAATTTGTACCAAGGTACTAGTTTTTCTAGGACTAAAAATAACTTAATAAATAAAAGACTTACCAGCGTTCCTGCCTTTACATATGCAGCGCGTTTAATGCAATGACCAGCAGTAAGAACAGTAAGATCATCTAATAAACTACCTCCACAAAGCTGCTTAGTAGTATTATCGTGAATACTAACAATAAATGGAAATTCATTTTCCTTAGCATCTTCTCCGCCAACAATCCTCTTATCAATAGTTGCCGCGAATACTGACATAGCAGAAAATACAGCTAGTGTAATAGTAATCTTGCGTACCATTGTGACGATCAGAGGCAGTTTAACAGATTGGTAATAAACAAGTTATAAAAGAAAATTGTATAAAATACTATGGAAAGGTATTTATTGTTAATAAATAATAAGGTAAGAATTTGGATAGGCAGCTTATTATATTTATCCTCGCAGCTATATAAATATAAAGATATTAAATACTAAAAGAAGCTTAAAAGGCCTGCAAACGTAACCGAGCTCTGGCGACTCATGAGCATAATATATAATCCTTAAAGAGAAAGTATTAATATACTTTGTAAAGGCATAAATACCGTGACTAAAATCACAGGAGTTGGATTATTACACCCACTTTAAATCCCACCTGTCTGTAATCGGCCTTGACTCGTATCTAGCTATATTCTATAGCAAGCCTCAAGAAGTTATCTGCCGATATTTCGCCAATATAAGTAAGCTGCATAACGAAACGAGTCATGAATAATGCAAACGCAAACCTTATTCAAAACCCCAGCTGAGTCGCGTCTCAATTTCTCAATTTTAATGCATTTAATTATGGCTTCTTTTTGTAAACTATTATAACTTTTACAAATAGTATTTAAGTTACGCACTGTTAATCCTATTATAGGCGAAATCGTTGACTAAATTATAGAATTTGTTCCTTAACCTCGCGCAGCAATTTTTAGAGCTATAATTATAGGCCGAGAAGACTACACGGAATAGCGGAATAGTGCCATACTTGTCTTCACAGTCTGCACTGGCCCGGTGGGATACTAATATCGAGCATCACGCTTTGTGGCCAGCCACAATGGAGCCCTCCCCTCAATATCCTGACATATGTGGGCTTTGGCCTGACAGACCTCTTTGCTGTATCCCTTGTTTGCCGCGTCAACAGGGACTTGGCAAATTGAGCTCTGGGAGCGACGGAATTCGGCTTTGAGGGATCTCGCGCTTACGTGGCAGTCCTATGTACCTTTGCTTGACGGAGATGCGAGACTATTTCCATCGGACCAGCATCCACATATAGGTGGTCATGCGTTTTGGAGCCACGTCTTCTTAAACGTACAAAATACGTGTGCGTTTAGCACCCTCAAAGTACGTACGTATATACAATGCTATAGTACGGAAAGTACAACATGACTGCTGCCAAGGCAGCAAGCAGTATTACGACTACGTGCCCTTTGAGGGACTCGGAATCAATCTCGGAATCAGAAGCCAAGAGCCAAGAGCCAAGAGCAATGCATTGTAGTAAAACTGTCATGCAGCAGAACAAGAATGAATTAAATTGCCTGGACACGGTGAAATTTGGTCATGTATAGACCAGCTACGTAGCGACGACTCGACGACATGGTGACGGGAATGTAGTCAAAAAGCGTTATGGGCTAACGCCTAGTTTGTTTCACCGCCTTGTCTGGGGTGGACCACAATGCGGCTGGGCGCATTATTAGGCCAACATTGAATAAGAGCATTGAGGGTTCAAAAATGGGTACGGCGGTCTGTTCACCCTTGAGTCAAGTCTGGTCTGATCTAAGAGTGTGGTGGCAGCCTGACCCTCTGCAACGCGTCTGGTTGAACGTCTGGTGCACAAGGGTCAACCATGGCTGGGAGCGTCAATGACTCTTGCGCAGCCGTATGCGTGAGAAGGAATGGGCGGCATCGTATAGGCCTAGTAGATCAACCGATATATTTCCGTCTGGCAGGATTGGAAAATTAAGATGCACTAGGCTTCGAGATTGTGCGAGCATTGCGTCTGGCGGACCATTTCAATGCTGGGACAGTTAAATGGGCACCCGAGACAGTCATCTAGAGCTGTAAAGGCAGACTAGTAGTAACAAAAAAAGTAAATATGATAAGCTGGTTTAGCATGTTTGGGTAGGTGTGGCATGAACCACGCCAAGAGTCAGGTGCTAGTATAAACAAGTGATGTCATGAGAATTAGATGGCTAAAGATTCATGTTGAATCTCTCTTTTACATGCTACATTTCCCCTTTTCTTAGATGCTCTCTTGCCGCGCAATTGTAACCCGAGCGAGACCGTAACAGTAGTTCCAACTATCCCATGCAATGCCCGTGTGGTTTGTCACAGCATTTACCACCATTTTTGAGAGGCGTCGCGAGCCACGTTGGAGCCACAGTGAGTCTCGCCGTGTAGAATATGATGGTCAAACCAATCATCCATAAAGGTAACGCTGAAGCCGACCTGAGCATAGACTTTAGTAACAGCCTCTGCAAAAATATCCTTGCCGCCAATAATAGGCCCCCATGGGTTAGGCGCCATATACTGGCCTTGAGGATATACGACGCCGTTAATGGTCTCGGGGTATAATGCAACCATTCGCTTCTTGGGCTCGTCGGAACGGTTTAGGTCATCGCTCCCTCCGGCCGCTTCTACAATATCCATTGCCTGGACTTTGGCGCGCCGAGTGCTGGTTGCGTTGCAAGTGAGGCCTTTGTCTGGGTAGTAAAAGAGACTAGGGATTCGAAAAATTTCGCCTTCAGTAATGCCAGTTTCTTGCTTGATGATGTTGACATTGTACTTGATTCGGTCCGCGCAGTGCTTGTTGATTTCTTCAAATTCAGGAAGTTCAAGTACGCCGTTGATATTAATGGAAGGAAGACAAGGGCTTTCGGGGTCATATGACTCGGGCTTGCGAGACATGGCCCTTTCCGTTCCATGTCCATTTGCTTGGGCATCTTTGAGCAATTTCATCCCATACTCAGGGTCAGCCATAGTTATAACCCAGCCCCGTGAGTTATTAGCCGGGAGAAATTGCACGTATTCATCCGTGTGGCCAACAAGAAGCCAATCATGATCAAGGGTGTCAATAGGGTATTGCGCCTCCTGAGCCTTAAGAAGAGCCATTACAGTTGGGCTGATATTATCATGCCTTCCCATAATTGCCCTTCCAGCAAGGTAATCTTTCCCATTGTACGAATAAGGTGGTATCGTCTCCAGGTTTCCCGTGGAGTCGGTGGTTAAACGTGGAAGGGTATCATTGGTAAAGTATTGAACGGCTCCTGTAGTGTTGGACCTGAATTCTGAAAAGATCATCCGGCCGGCGTGACGCCCCGGTTGGCTACTTCGAATATTAACTCGTAGGTATATCGGACCATTGGGACCAGGAATGCTGGCGTAGCCAGGTTCAAAGTAATCTTGAACCCAGATATCCCGGTGCTCGACCATGTGAACGGGCTTTTTAACTCCAGCCTTGGCGGTATAATTCACAATAAAGCTCGCAAATTGCGCCTGTGCTTCCTTCCCGTCCCCCATCTCGTCAATACCCGCAACCGTGAAGACTTGATCCGGATCTTGCAGGTGATGGTGTGTCAGAATCGGTGCCACACGAAGGGCAACCGTATCAGAAGATATATTCTTCCCATTCTCAAACAACTCAAAAGTGACCGTAACTCTGCCATCCCACTCATTAGGTCGGCGGACATCTCGGCCATCGATTCCTAGCTCTAGACCAGGTTCTAATGCAGACGCATTAAACACGTGATCTTTACCCAGATACATCCATTCGCCATGATCTTTGTAGAACATTCGAGTTTTGTTAAGGGCATCTTGGAGAGTAATTCTACCCGTGGTAGAGTTGCTCAGGTTATGGATTGGGAGGGTGCGAAGCGGAGCGAGGTACTGGGATTGGCGAAGGATATTATCAGATGCATCGTTGCACATTGCAAGCTCGATTTCAGTGGTATTTTCTGTGATTTGAGACGAGCATCGGCGGTCAGTATCGACAATATTTGGCAGAAACAGTGCTCCTTGTTTCTCGGTCCAGTAGGCTTTCCCCTCATGGTCCGTAACATCCACATGTCCGTCTCGATTTGTGTCTGCTAGAATAGTAGCTTTATAACCATAAGCAGTGGTTGCAACGGCGAGTGCTAGAACGGCCGCCTTGCCGAGGGAATACATGATGGTAATAGTGACAACTTTTACCAATGAGAAAATTGATTCATAGAATAATGTATAAGAAGTTTTGTAGTGCTGGTAGTGAAGTTGTGGATAAAAGACTTCATGATGAACGGGATTCCACGTTTCTTTATAGTTTATTCATTCTCCTAGTTGGATTGTCATTTGACCCTTCAACACCTCAAAAGCAGGAGCCCTTCCGGTTCTCCCCATTGTGAGATGTCACCTCCGCTGGCTTGACACAAGCCATGCTTCACCGAGAGTATCCGTTGTACGCAGTATCTGACACTTTGATGTGAAAGTGGCGTGCGCAAATTGTACCGCAGAGAGAGGGCTCGAACCATTTCGGGCACCCCGTGGACATCTGTGTATGCAAGTTTCAGCAAACCGTCAGTATCTGCAGCCAATTGACACCCGCTGCTACCCAAGCCGTTCATTTTGTGTAACGTGCCATCATCAGTGTGAAATTTGAGAATGATCCGGATTATCGGCCCAAAGCGCCGAGTCAAATCCCTGGGGTGGTCTATCCTCGATTCAGTTGAAGTATATTAACCGCCACCTGTTTTTTCATCTCGTACGAATTTCTTTACGTGAGCAAGTATAGGGGCAGAGTTCTGCTTTTTATTGTCGGCTTGCCTGTTTGCCCGCCCAAGGTATCAAGTTGCAGGCCTGCTAGGGAGTATCAAAGAATTCCAGAGCAAGCCAAGGAATAGCAACTTGTATGCTAATGTTGCACGGTAATTGAGACACACCGACATGAAAAGTGGCCTCTGGCTACGCCATGGTTTGTGTGACAACTTGCAACAAAATTGCGATTGGGCGGCGGCTAAGACACAAGAGTCAGCCCTCAAAGACCCCGCCAAGCTGAAAAAAAGAAAGGCAAAGTCATTCTGATTCAGATCAATACAGCTGAGAATAGTATTACAAAGACCCTTGAGACCTGATATGTCATGTATCCAGCTGCCGGGCGCAGCTGAGGATAGTCTTTGGAGAGCCGTGAAGGCTGGCCAGGACAAACGCTATTGGATCTCCGATAGGATTTCAGCAGACTCGAATCAACACTTCGGCATTGTCACATACGACGTTGACGGCGGACGGCTGCGTAGTAATATGTATTTCCACTT